CCTCAGGGTGTTTTCCTCTTCCCTCCAGCTCCTCTGTTGCAAGAGTTGGAGCTGTGCCCACCACTAACCCTTCTGCCCCCACTAACCTCTGTCTCTCCTTTAACCCCTCTCTGCTTTACCCTCAGGACCTGCTGGGCTGGTCGCGGAAGGACCTGTGTAGTGAGTTTGGCATCGGTCGCCCTCGCCAGACCGAGACCTTCGACTGGAGCCGCCCAGCTGTGTCCAGGGAGAGAGACTGGCCTGCTGAGACTGAGCAGGGCCAGAAATTTGGGGCCAAATCCAGCTGGGACAGCAGTGACAGGGACAGCACTGCCCAGGAGGGCTGGAGCAGCAACTATGGAGCCACGGAGCTGATGGGGGACACAAGACTCAGCAGCAGCGACTGGTCCCAACCTCTCAGCACCAGAGAGAGCTGCCTGCAGGATTCAGACTTCAGTGCCACCACAGCCAAGTGGGGCCCAGGCTATGGCCTGGGCCGTACTGGCAGCAGAGAGCACCTTGGCTCTGGGCAGGCTGACTGGGGCAGTGGCCTTGGCACAGGGCACAGCCAGCAGCAGGATGAGGAGCCACGCTCAGGGCAGCCCACCTGGGTGGGCAGATACAGTGCTGGGGACACAGAGATGAAGGACAGAGAGCTCACCTCAGACTGGGCTAGTAAATACAGCAGCCAGGATGCTGGGAGCAAGGACCAGGATTTGACACTGGGCTGGGCTGGCAGATCCAGCACTGGGGACACTGGGAGCCCAGACAAGGAGCTCAGCCCCAGCCGTCCAGCCTGGGACAGCAGGTACAGCACCCGAGACATGGAGAGCCAGGACCGGGAGTTCAGCCCCAGCAGGCCAGACTGGACTGAGGAATACAGGAACATGGAGAGTCAGGACAGGGAGTTCAGCCCCAGCAGGCCCGCCTGGACTGAGGAATACAAGGACACAGAGAGTCAGGACAGAGAGTTCAGCCCCAGCAGGCCAGCCGAAGGCAAGGAGTACAGCACTGGGAATGTGGAGACCCAAGACCAGGAATTCAGTCCCAGCAGAGTGGCCTGGGATGACAGGTACAGCACCAGGGACATGGAGAGCCAGGACCAGGAGTTCAGTCCCAGCAGGCCAGCCTGGGGTGGCAGATCCAGCACCAGGGACATGGAGAGCCAGGACCAGGAGTTCAGCCCCAGCAGACCAGCCTGGGATGACAGATCCAGCACCAGGGACATGGAGAGCCAGGACAGGGAGTTCAGCCCCAGTGGAGCAGCCTGGGGTGACAGATCCATCACCAGGGACATGGAGAGCCAGGACAGGGAGTTCAGCCCCAGCCGACCAGCTGAAGCCAGTGAGTGCAGCACCAGGGACCCGGAGACCCAGAGTGGGGAGTTCAGCCCCAGTGGAGCAGCCTGGGGTGACAGATCCATCACCAGGGACATGGAGAGCCAGGACAGTGCATGCGCACCCAGCAGAATAGCCTGGGATAGTGGGCACAGCACCAGGGACATGGAGACCCAGGATGGGGAGTTGTTCAGCTCCAGTAGAGCAGCCTGGGGTGACAGATCCAGCACCAGGGACGTGGACACCCGGGATGGGGAGTTCAGCCCCAGTGGAGCAGCCCGGGATGGGGAGGACAGGTCTGCAAACACCAGGAAGGATGAGCAGGAGCTGATCTTGGGCCGGCTGAGCTGGCCTAGTGAGCACAGTGTTGGCCAGACGGGGCTGGTCAGGGTTGAGGAGGACATGCCCAGCTCCCACTGCCCTGATCCCCCAGCCCAGGAGCTCACCTGGGGCAGTGCCCACCGACAGGAGCACAGCAGCTCCAGCAGCAGAGACTGGGCTGAGCAGCACGAAGGGGCTGAGTGCCACCACCAGTTCAGTGTCATTGGGACAGAGCGGGCACCAGACCCCTGCAGCACTGGAGCCTCGGATGGCTCCATGTCTGGGGACCTGCTGCAGCCCCTGGCAGGCT